AAAACTCCTAGGCACTTTAATGTTTAGCTTTGATTCATGTGTTCCTCTTAAACCAAATTAAAATTTGCTCAAACAAGTACTTTTGAAATATGAAAAGATTTAAATTAAGCCAGAAACACCCAGTCCAAAAGACCAGTGACTAAATGTTTAATCTCAGAAAATAATTCCCTGTCCAGTCCCAAACATATCTTCTTTTGACTAGGATTTTTTCTTATTGGCCATGTCATCAAAGTAAAGAGAATTTTGGCAGTCAGCCAGTTAATTAAAGACCTGGCCCAAGGCTGTGGACACAAAATCACTTTGTAATCCTCATTTTCTGCTTTGACTTTTTTTTTTTACAATCCAACAGATATAATAATTGCTACATACACTCTCAATGTTTGTCTTATAGAGAAAACATCATTGTTTGCTGCGTAGAAAAATGTGAATTAAAAGTTAGCATTTAAAGAAATGTATTTGGAATTTTTGACGCTTTTGCATGCTTGGATCCAAGTAGTCTTGGTTACTGTGTGAATAGGGAAATCTGTTCCTCAGTGGAATTCTGAAGTTGAACCTCTATGAGCATTTATTTCTCACCCCTCAGCCCATACATACATATATAATAAGAAAGAGAAAAATAGCCTATGGCATTTTTTTCATATTACTCATATTTTTAAGTAAAGAGAAGTAGGGTAGAAAAGACATTAAGTTCCCGTATTGTCTGTGTGGTTACAGAGACACGAAATATTTCTTTTAGAGTTCAGCAGCAAGAATGGCAATCAGCACCTGGAGAGAGGGTTTGTGCTAATGAGGCCTAAGTCAGGCATTGAATGCTCATGGGGTCTAATTAGCCTCACACACGAAGAAACTGAGCTTCATCAAAGATGCATGTGTATCCCAGATAGTCCTGCCAATAGCCAGGACCCCTCACATGCCCACAGTCTTCTGTCTGTCCTTGTTTATCTCCTAGGCTGGCACCCACACCAGGCCAGCCTTGGGGGGCAGGTAGCAGGCCTTAAGAGCCAGTGCTAGGCAACCAAGCTTCTCTTCCAATCAGCTCACTTTCTCTTTCCTACCACAGACTTGGTGAACTGCCTTGCTGGCCTCTGCTTCACATCTATTCACATGCACAAGAAAGACACCAGCTTTTGTCACACTCGGGCTATGTCCAGACTTTCTGATGCTATCCCAAGTCCCAGCATGCCTCACTCCTCTATACCACCACCCACGACCCCTAACGTATGTGCACTTTCCCAAACACCAATGGCATTTACAGTCTCTTTTCACGTTGCTTTCGGAGTTGCTCTTAACTCTGGTTTCTACCACATATATCTCGTTGCCATGGCGATGGTGTCACTTGACAGTACAGCTCCTGGCCTCCCCTTCTCCAACCCTCATTTTGATCCAACAAGACTCAGTTTAGATGTGATTCAACCAAATTTTGACTGAAGCATCGAAGGCAAATGGGATAGAACAAGTAGCTGAATGCTGGCTGTCACCACACGACATGAGAGAGCATTGCAGAGTCTGTACCAGCACCATCCTCTCAATATATTTTTAGTACAATGAAGATAATGTCATCATTCCATAAAATCCAACAGTATAAGAAACTTAAGTGCCACCCACCACTCTTGGTCTATAATATATTTGGTTAGTAATAAATTTTACAATTAATTTAGAAATTCATTAATAATTCCCTGATCACCACTCTTTCATAAAAGAGTGGCAGAGAAGCCACTATTTGAGGATTAGGGATGATTGTTTTTTATGAAAAATAGCGTGTTTATCATGGAAGATACTTAGAAAAGAAGCATTGATCATTTTGAGTGTTTCCTAATTTAAGGGTATTTGCATGAGACCTAAATTTATTTCAACCCCTTAGATACAAACAGTTCTCAGAAAATTAGCTATGGTACATTACAGAGCGTCATTATTACAGCAAGAATTCTTGGTTCTCCTCGGGTCACCAGCAGTCACTATGCAGCCGGCTTTACTGTTGAGTCCGCACCCACTTCCCACAGATGCCGTAGAGTAAATATTGTCATAAATTCTAAATTTATATCATCAAAACTAATAAATTGTGAGACATGATAATTTTTACACGAAATTCTATCCCCCATTTCTATTATGGTAATACTGAGTGAGTGAATAATAACTGCTCTTTGGGGTCAAGAAAGATGGACGCGAGGGGCTTGAAGAGATGGCTCGGCAGTTCAGAACACTTGCCATTCTTACAGAACACTGGAGTCCAATTACCAGAATCCACAGCAGGTGTTTACAATCACCTGTAACTTCACCTGCAGGGAGATTGACACCTCCTTCTGGTCACCACAGCCACGTACACACACACACACACACGCACGCACGCACGCACGCACGCACACACGCAGGCATGCCTGCACATGCACATATATGCACAAAATTTCATAGAGAAGCATAATCACATAGACTACAGTGAAAATTACTAATATCTTTATACATTAGCTTATACATGTATGTTTACAGTGTATATGACCTTTTAACCAAGAATTCCAAAATTAGGAACTAGAGTTGAACTTTGGTGTGCAGACAGATAGCCAGTTCTGGGTTGCTTATCACAGCAATGTGTTGGAAGCCCCACAAATGACCAACAGTAGAAGAACGACCAAACGGATTTGTCTATATGATAGGCTATTTTACAGCCAGCACTTTTCAGATATCAATAAAATGCTCACCATACAGGGTTAGGGAGAAAAAAGTAAGAGACAAAATTGAATATTTGATAATTTGCCAAATAGTAAAATACAGTTGACTGTTTCCTAGCTTGGACTTGCATGTGCTGTTCCTGATTCTTCCTTTTCATATATTTCGAGTTGTTTACAACAAATACTGGAAGAACTGGATTTTTTTTGGCATTTTAAACTCTTTTTTGTTATTTTTTATTTTTTATTCTTTTTATTGAACTATATACATTTTTCTCTTCTCCCCTCCCTTCCTTTGCCTCCCCTTCTACCATCTCCCATGGCCCCCACACTCAGTTTAGTCAAGAGATCTTGTCTTTTTCTCCTTCCTATGTCAGTGCATGTTTGTTTCTCTTAGGGTCCTCTTTGTCTAGGTTCTCTGGGGTTGTGAACTATAGGTTGGTTTTTCTTTGTTTTATGGAGAGAACTGTTTAAAGGAAGACCTCTTGCTAGGGTTCCTCATCTCAGAGCTAGTACTATAGTATGTTGACCCAAGAATTGAGTTTGGAGCTCATCCTCTACCCTTTTAGGGTCTACCCTCCCAGTCTCTACCCTCCCAGCACCTACCCTCCCAGCCTCTACCCTCCCAGCCTCTACCCTCTCAGCATCTGCCCTCACAGAGTCTACCCTACCAGCACCTGCCCTCCCAGCCTCTACCCTCTCAGCCTCTACCCTCTCAGCACCTACCCTCCCAGCCTCTACCCTCCCAGTCTTTACCCTCTCAGCGTCTGCCCTCACAGAGTCTACCCTACCAGCACCTGCCCTCCCAGCCTCTACCCTCCCAGCCTCTACCCTCTCAACATCTGCCCTCACAGAGTCTACCCTACCAGCACCTGCCCTCCCAGCCTCTACCCTCCCAGCCTCTACCCTCCCAGCCTCTACCCTCTCAGCATCTGCCCTCACAGAGTCTACCCTACCAGCACCTGCCCTCCCAGCCTCTACCCTCTCAGCCTCTACCCTCTCAGCACCTACCCTCCCAGCCTCTACCCTCCCAGCCTTTACCCTCTCAGCGTCTGCCCTCACAGAGTCTACCCTACCAGCACCTGCCCTCCCAGCCTCTACCCTCCCAGCCTCTACCCTCTCAGCATCTGCCCTCACAGAGTCTACCCTACCAGCACCTGCCCTCCCAGCCTCTACCCTCCCAGCCTCTACCCTCCCAGCCTCTACCCTCTCAACATCTGCCCTCACAGAGTCTACCCTACCAGCACCTGCCCTCCCAGCCTCTACCCTCTCAGCGTCTGTCCTCACAGAGTCTACCCTACCAGCCTCTACCCTCCCAGCACCTACCCTCCCAGCCTCTACCCCACCAGCATCTGCCTTTCCACCATTTATCCTTTGCTTTAGGACTTCAGGAGTCACTACCAATAGCAAGCACCCATAATCTAAGTAATGTATACAAAATTAAAAGAACATATATTTATATGTACCATGTGATTTTTAATAGTCATAATAAACTGTGAAGTGAATTCAAATAGTTAGCATTTTTGTGACGAGAACGTTTAGGATCTACTTCAAAGCTGGATGTGGTGCCACAGTAATCTATATAATGAGATCCTTTCTCAAAGAAAATTCTACTTTACGCTTACATATTAAGTAAAGGCACCACACTGTACAATAGATCTTGAAAGCTTGTTCATCCTGTCTAACTGAAACATTTCTTTGCTTAACATCTCACAGTTCCCATACAAACCTTAGAGCTGCTAATAATTCACACTGCAGCTCTGCTACTCTGAGTTGTGCCTTTTCATATGTGAGATCATGCAGGGCATGTCTTCTTGTGTGGTTGACATATGTATAGAACATATATTGCTACATATATAAAATATATTGCATTTTTATCAGTCTGTGCATGCTGATTCTATCTTTTGCTGCTTTGAATGCATCTATGCAACAACGAATGCACCATCTTCTCAGCACAATGACCTCATTTTCTCTAGCAATATAACCAGAAGCTGAATTGTTGGGTCATGTAGTAAATGTGTTTATAATTCTTGGAGGAATCTCCATAATAATTTTCATATACTAATTTGCATCCCACCAACAGAGGACGAGGCTTTCCTTCTCGGCATTCTTAGCAGCAATGGCTAACATTCCTCTTTTTGAGAAAATCACTTTAATAAGTGTAAGGTGGTGCTAAGCATTTTTATATGTGGCTTGTTGTATGTCCTTTTTTAAAAATGTCTCTTTATGTCCTTATCTCATTTTTATTTGTTGTTTGTTTTCTTGCTACTGAGTGGTTGAGTGGGGGCCTTGCTGTGTTGGGTGTTGACCTGTGGCCATTGTGTCCTCCTGCCCTTGCAGCAATCCTGATCTCCGCAGAACAGAGCCTGTCCTGGAGAGCCCCTTGCAGAGGACCAGCAGCGGCAGTTCCTCCAGCTCCAGCACACCCAGCTCCCAGCCCAGCTCCCAAGGAGGCTCTCAGCCTGGGTCACAAGCAGGATCTAGTGAACGAACCAGAGTTCGGGGTAAGCATCCTCTTAACTCCTCCATCCTCTTCTGCTTGGGAGGAAAGGAGAGGTTGCTTCCTAACTCTGCTGTCAAGGTGGCCACTGTTGTGTGATACTGCAAATTGTCTGCTATCTTATGTTTGTGTCTTCTGACGGCACTGGGCTAGAGTCCCTAATTGTGCATATGATATCAGAGTGTAAGCAACAATCCTGTCTATGGTAACTTTCTAGGTCCCCAAATGTCCACTTCCATTTGATTCCTCATTTTCGGTCTCATGCACCCCTCTGTCTTGTTCCCATGGCGCCAGTCATCCCTTCCAGGATTCCAAGCATGCTTCGTCATCTTGGGTATTTCTCAAAATGACATTTCCTAAAAGTCAATATAAAGTAAATTCACAAGACAGAAGAGAATACTTTTGCCTTAAAGTCACAAGGTTGATTATTCTGGTTGTTCCCATTAGATAAATAGAAAAACATAGCCTGATATTTAGTTCAAAAGCGTCATCATTGCTTAGTTTTCACTAAGAAGAGACCTAGGGAAAGACTATAGTGCAATTAATTAATACCTAGAAAACCCCTGTTCTAACTAGTCAAAATTCCCTCTTTTTAAGTCACTTCCTTCAGAGAATAAATGTGCTCACAATAAGTAAGAACAGGCTGTCTGAAGCACGATTTGATAACTATTAACAAGCTGGTGGGTCACTCTCCCTTAAGACAAGCTCGTGGCCCCTTAGCAAATGCAGCCATGATTTGCCTGCTGCTCTACATATGACATACATAATGCGGCATCTCTCACTGTGCCGCAGGGGGCCTCACATGTGACATCTATAACACGGCATCTCTCACTCTGGCTGCAGGGGGCCTCCCCCAGCCTGGATCCCCAACTCTATTACTGGGTCCCTCACCTTTATCAACACCTTCCTGTTCCTGTATCATTCTTTCTTCCTTAAAGGTCTCAGGTCACTCCTCAGCTTCTTTTAAAACTCATTCCATCAAACAAAACTCATTTTATTCTTCACCTTGAGCTAGGGGTGTCATCTTTGAATCTGTCCTTATCTGGAGAATAAGAAAATAGTGCCAGACCATTGGCTTGGAACAAGGATTAATTGCAATAATCAACAGAGAAAGCATTTAGTACTGTGCCTAGTACACAGAAAGCACTTGGTAGTGACTGCAGATTTTTATTTTTACTGTGGCTTCTGGGTTTCAGGCCTCAGCTGTCTGACTTTTTTTTTTTGAGTATTTGTTGTTTTTCCATCGAATACATGGATTTGCCTAGTGAGTCACTCACTCAGAATGAGGCAGCCTTTTCTAAGAGCCATGTCCACTCTTTCTTGTCCCTCTTATTTTCTCTAGCCAACAGTAAGTCAGAAGGATCACCTGTGCTCCCCCACGAACCTACCAAGGTGAAACCTGAAGAATCCAGAGACATCACCCGACCCAGTCGACCAGCTGTGAGTGCTAGCCTTCCTAAGAATTTCTGTGTCTTCACTTACCTGAGAACCCTAAGATAAAGTAATTGGGGTTACAGTCACTACTCAAAGCAAAACTAGAGGATAATAAGAACGATGTATGCTAGAAGTGTCTAAAAGGAAGTCATGGTTGAAGGGAACTGAATGGATCTTGGGTGCTTCTGTTGACTTTGGATGCTTTGTTGCTCATCAGCAGTCCTGTAAGAAATTAAAAAGGGATGAGACTAGCTCACACAATCCCAGAGTGTTTGCTTAGCACTTTGATATAAAGATGTTAAAAGTAGCAGTCAGGAATACTTAGGCTCTTCCTGTAAACTGCTGCCATCCACCCTCCACACGTGACCTGTCATCCCTGTCTTCAGCGACTATCAATCCCAAAGGTCGGAGGAGGAAGACCACCAACTCAAGTCATCACAGTCAAATTCACTAAAGCAAGCTTTTTAATTTGTGTTCATGGACGGCCTCAGGCAGGGGTTAAGACATCAGCATGGAATGTGAGGAAGGCAAGACTTTCATAGGTCAGGGGGAGAGGGCTTGATTACAGGAGCACAATATCATAACAAGTCAGTCCTAATGACTTCCTGACACAAAGACATGGTGGCAGGGTAGGCAGAACAAGGTGGTCATAGCAATAGGTAGTCATAACAAGGTAGCCATAGGTGGTCATAGAACCTTTTGGAACAAAGGTGGGGTTGCAAGATGATTCTAAACAACTTTTTGAAACACAGGTAGATTGACATTCCTGGAACACGCAGTACAGAACCATTTGTAGCTAAGGTTCCAGGTGGGGTAAGCTCGTACTTGAGAAACAGATTTAATCATAAACAGAAATGAGCCTAGTCTGTCTTTACTAGAAGATGGCCTCTGAGACTAAGATGGAGGCAGGCTGGTTCTTCACTGCTTGTCATGCCTTATGAACTGGTCTGTTTGAACCAAAACTTAGTAAGCGTGGTGTAACACAGGGCCTGGAGACTTGAAATCCAGAGCCATTGCTGAACCATGAAGGACCCAAGTGTATAAATTGAGGCTTTCAGCATCAGATGTATAAATTTAGGACTGACTGCTCCAAGGTGTGGCTGAGGAGAAGGTTTCTATTGTAGATATGAGAGAGTGTAGCCAGGGGCACCTGGAAGAGTCCAGGGCAGGGAGAGATAGCAGTACAAGGTGGTCAGCAGAGTGAACCAGGCCATGAGAGGAGAGCAGGGGAGAGTGAGAGAGAGGAGGAGGACAAAGGGAATTCAGGCAAAGGATGCCAAGAGAAAGGCAAGAGGGAGGAGCCAAGAGGAGAAGACAGGAGAGGGCATGTAACTGAAATGGCAGCGTTGTATGGGAGTGAGAAGCTGGGCAGGGAAACCCATGAACTTGAGGAGTGTGGGACAGGAGGCAGGCTGTGAAGACCTGAGAGGAACCACAGGCAGTGTGATAATAAGGGAGCTTGGAGGCCAGCAAGCTAATAGTCACCATAGATGGCCATTTGTCCTTTCTGACTGCTTTGGTAGAAGTGCAAGAATCTGGGGGTGTGCAGTTTCCTTTGGACCTGACACGAAATAGCTTGAAAGAAAGAAAGAAAGAAAGAAAGAAAGAAAGAAAGAAAGAGAGGGGGGGAGGGAGGGAGGGAAGGAGGGAGGAAGGAAGGAAGGAAGGAAGGAAGGAAGGAAGAGTATGGGTTAAAGTATAGTTCAGTTGGTTAAGTGCTCATTCTGCACACATGAAGCCCTGGATTTGATCCCGAGCACTTCATTAACAGGCATGATGGTACACACCTTTAATACCAATGCGTAAGAGGACCAGAAGTTCAAAGTCATCTTCAGCTGAATAATGAGTTCAAGGCTAGTCTCGGATGCATGAAACATTGTCTCGGATGGATGGATGGATGGATGGATGGATGGATGGATGGATGGAGATGATAGATAGATAGATAGATAGATAGATAGATAGATAGATAGATAGATAGATGATAGATAGATGATAGATAGATGATAGATAGATAGATAGATAGATAGATAGATAGATAGATAGAGCTAAAACTAAAGGAAAGGAAGGAAAAAGAGCACGCTGTCTGAAAGCAGAAAAGCAGATTGGATGTTCTGAGTCACTGTCATGTTCATAAATGTCTCTTTCATTTGCTGATCTTATCATCGTAAAGTAAGGAGGATGCTAAGTAATAATGACAGGCATTTGCAGCGCCCTGGCTCTCACTTCTCTTTGCCTATTTGTCTGTGTTAGTTTTCTACTAACAATACCAATTTTGTGTCTAACCTTCTTCTCTTCTTCTGGCTTTTCCCTGCCTGTGGACTCTTCGGGAATGGCTTCCTCTACTTCTTTTCTTTCGGCGTTTTCCTGCCTATGGACTCTTCGGGACTGGGTTCCTCTCGTCACAGAGCTATAAGAAAGCTATAGACGAGGTCAGTACTACCCTTTCTCAGCCATGCTTTCACAAGATGTGACAATTAAGCCCATTTCCCGATGTTGACATGCAGACAGGAGGCCAGTGGGGTTGTGGGGAAAGCCTTGCTTTTTTTTGGGGGGGGGGGCATTCTAAAGAAGCTAGCCCAAGACCCTCGTATGTAGCCATAAAAAGCTTTAGAGTCCTTCACTAAGTAAAAACATTGTTTTCCCAATGTCCCAATCAGGCGAACAGCAGGTACTAGTGTTTTGTTAATTTGTGGTTTCTCCGTTCAGCACCTTCTGATAAAAACCCGTATTCAGCATCCTTACTAGGAGATGGCCCTCAGTGGTTTTCTAACAAAGCAGAGACATAATTCTTACATACCCCAAATGTATAGTGTGATTTGTGAACGAGGAGTTACTGTGTGCTGTTAGAATAATTTTGTGGGGCAGCCAAACCATCACAAGCAACACCAGCCTTGGCTACTGAGCCCAGGCGAGTGGAGTGATTGAGTTCCTCATCTGTGTAGATGTTTTTCTACTAGAGAAGCACATGGCTTTGTCCACTGGAGATAGCTTGCTGAGTATGGCCGCCTCGCTGTTTGTCAGGCCTGCATGAGCAGAGTGCGGTAGAACCGTTCTGAGCAGACAGGCCTTGCAGAGTCCTGGATGCATGAAATGGGAGGTTTACTATGATGGCTTCCAGGCTGTAGCTCCACAGAGGACATTTTTTTGAAATTATATGGAAAAAGCACTGGCTTCGGGCATCAGCAGCTACATTTGAAGTTTGGCTCCCCTCGGTGAACGCTGCCTAGGATAACTCTCGTAATCTCGGTCAGTTTTCTGATCTGAAGAATGGGAATAAAAACAGCTACTCACGTTTATCCACAAACTTGTCTGGGCCCTTAAGGGCACGCATGCAAAGACATTTTTTGAAAGTAGAAAGTATTTGTTCAGAGTTGAGCCATAGACACAGAACTAACTTTGCGAATAAAGAAGTTTGTGTCTGTAAAGCTGTTGTTCACCGTAGCTGTGACCACCACACATTCATAGTGAGTCAGAAAGTCCCGCTCCTAGTGAAGGTGTCGCTGCTGATAGTGCTGCTCCCCACGGGTCTAAAGCAGGGACTGTCTATAATCACTCTGCACCATGGCCTTGCTTTCCCTTATGGTAGCAAAGATGGTGGGGCTATCCCAACTTGTTTAACTAGTCACCCAGACCAGGTAAAGAAAGAAAATTATTTTCTGGTACTGGGTACTGTAACTGTCAATAAAGTAGTATTCCTATCAACAATTTAAGGGTCCAGACATTGATATGGAGGTGGCTGTCATAAGGAAAAGGGCTCTCCTGGGTCTCATCTGGTTAGCCCTGGATGGTTCAGGTTTTGGTAAATCGCTTCATTGATTTTGGTATGCTTCACCACACCAGATAGAGATGAGGAATAGGCACCCTCATGCCAAAATCTCTGGGATATACATCAGGGCAAAAGCCCTCAGTAAACTGACAGCTCTGACCCTTGAGCATCAGTGACCTGAACCACTCAGAACCTAGGAGATGACCTTCCCACCCCAGCAACTCCTGTGGCCCTGCCTACTCCAGCGGCTCCTAGCCCTGGTTGCTACTCTGCTTTCACCTAGGAGCTAATGAGCAAAATCTGAAGTTAGTTGTAGTTGTTACACTGGAAAGTAGAGGCGGAGCTACTGGCAGCTTGTCCATACATTAAAAGGGCAGAGCTAAACATCCTACACCGGGCAGTCCTTCACAGTAAGAGGTCCCCTGGGCCCAGCTCTGTCACCCGTGACTTTCCTTCTGTAGCTGTTTTCCTGTTTGGATGACCCAGAATGAAATTCAAATAAGTCTTTAAACACCTTTTAAAAACATATTTTGTATTATTGGTAATTCAGTAGTTTAATTTTTCATAGCAATAAATCCCAAAGGTTGATATTAATTTAGCATTACTTTCTAAAGTACTATGAAATTTTTGCAACATTGTTATTTAAGACAACTTTTGAAGACAAACACCCTTTACCTTCCCATAACTGAATGTGTGTCATGAAGTCTGTGTGCAGAAGCAAACTCTGGGTGTGGAGGTTAGGTTTTTATTGGGGTAAAGAAAAATCTGAGCAATTCTAAAATCACCCATTGATGGGTTGAAATATACGTAATGATTAGTAAGCTGGACTCTTTTTCCTTCAGATGAGTCCACTGAAGTTAAGGGGGGGTGCACCCTGTGTCTCTCCTTTTGCTTTCCTAAGAAGGGGGGAAATGCAACACAGAAACAAAAGATCAGATTAAAATTCACTAATAATATAATGGCTCAACCAGTGCAAGGAAAACTTGAATCAGTTATATTATTTCAAACAAAAAGAGGGCAGGGAACCCTGATTGCTCTTCAGGCTGACGAGGGAGAGGGACTTGATTGGGGGAGGGGGAGGGAAATGGGAGGCAGTGGCGGGGAGGAGGCAGAAATCTTAAATAAATAAATAAATAGATAGATAAATAGATAGATAGATAAATAAATAAATAAATAAATAAAATTTAAAAAAAAAGAAACCCAAATGAGCATATTTTGAAGCAAGGCATTCTGTAGCCGTCAGATGAAACAAGCCCACCAGGATGAAAAGTTATGGCATGAAGAAGCTGAGAAATGCCTCGTCCAAGCCCCCTTTGGATGCGAGCCCCTCCTGCCTTCACAATAGCTCTGTGGGAAGAAATGGAGTATTTGGCCCACATCTCTTTTTTAGTTAATACGTTCTCAAATATTTGCTAAATAGCACTTCTATTCCCCCATTTTACACTTCTTAGCTGCAGGCTTGAGACAGCCAAGCAATAAATTACCATAAAAGGCTTATTATATGGAGGAAATTGGAGTTGTCAGAGAACAAAGTGTATGAAAATGCATCCGAACCCATCAGTGACAATATTGCATCATGTCTATTTCCTGCAACTTTGATTGTGTCCATTTTCCCTCATCGTGAGCATATGAGGAACAAAAGCTCAGCTAACCACTAAGGCTGCTGGCAATGGGAGATTAATTTCGTTCAAGGGCATTACTCTTGATTACTCATTATTGCTACCTTGAAATTTTCATTTGTGTCCCACTCTCCAAGATGTTGCCAATTAAACTGAAATAGATTCGCAATTATTTTTATGTTTCATGAAAGAGCTTTTTAATGACACAGAAATAAAAATTTCTGATTAAAACCAAAATTATAAATCAGATCTTAATTCTAAAGCGTTGATAAATAAAGTATTTAGGGAAATGTAGGTCATTTTAAAAAGTGAAACTTTCTTGAAATTGTTACTGGCTTATGGATCTACTTAATAATTCTAAACAGATTGGATTTTTTAAAAATCTCTCTGTCTTATCTTGTTCTGAACTGTCAGAGATAAGGAAGCCATGCCTGGGGGAAAATGTATCATTAATTTAAATAAGTCATAGCGGTAGTATTATATTTTACTCAGACTTTCTGATAGTAGAAACAAGCCTCTTTAAACCATATTCTCTCTTTAAATCATAATTAAGAATAGTTTTTAATATTTAAAATTTTAAATATTAGTTATTTTCATTGATAGTCTTACCTTTTTTTAAAAAAAACCTAAATATGCAATAACTGTGTCTAATCTGTCACTTTTGCTAGTTGGGAAGCTCACCCTGTCCTCCTGCTTTCCGAGTCTTGACAATCTGTCAACAGTTTGTCCCCATTGTGCCCATCTAGCATGTTCTTCATACACTTTCTGTTGATAGAGATACATGTATCCGCAGCAATCAAGAGGAAATACGCGGAAGGGTGAAAGCTAGCTATTAGCCTTTCCTGGTTTGGGTGCATTGCCTAAGAAACTAGAAATAAATGTGCGTAAAATTCTCTGTGTGGGGGGGGGGGCGGGGCTTTCCCCTTCTATAATGTTTTCTTCAAACATCGTTAAGCCTTTCGCATCCAACTCTCTATTCACTTTCACGGACGGCGGAGACTGGGGTTGTGTGTTTGAGGGAGTGTGCATGCATGGGCAGCCCCAGCAAGTGTGTGTTTGGGTAGAACATGCAGTTGGGATTTCCAGAAGCCTCCCCTTCATGGGACGTTCAGGTGACTTCGGGACATTAGGACTTTCCTTTTGAGACATGATATTAAAAGGAAATGATTCTGACTCGTTCACTTGACAACATTTCCTAAATTTTAGTGAAGCATCAAAGTGATTGCCCCATGAGTGTTGACCAAAACAGCGGTGCTTGCCATGTGACCGCGGTACAGCAATGCCATGGCATATGGGATTCTCAAAATTATAACTACCATTAGCTATGCATGTTTATCATAATCTTTCTTCTGATTGGGATTGAGCACTTATGTCACTGAGGTGACGTAATCATACATCAGGTGAATTGGACAAATACATTTCTGAACTGAAATAAAGAGAGAATATGGCCAATTATTTTTTGGGGGGAAAAATGTGGGATTTAGTCTTTTTCAATGAGTTTCTCTCTCCCTAACTCCCTGTCTCTCGCTGAATGCTCTGGTCCCCACATGGGCCCCTAAATAGGGAGAAATGGTAAGACCAATGTCAAATTGCTTCTTCCTCATCTGCATGCTTCGTGCCATGGGCAGTTTAACCCATGCAAAGTAGAGCGGCCATGCTTCTGCAGAACTGCCTCCCTCCGCCTTGCTCTGAAAGCATGCCCATTAAGGTAGTCAGACGTTCAGCACACTGTCTTGCACTATGCCTGGTGACCAAGTCCTGCCTCATCACATCCATAAGGCTAAGGGTTTCATCACACTCATGGAAAATGATCTCTTCCTTTGGGTGTTTACACATCATTTCAGCATTCTTGTGAGGGGTTCTGCCAGGTGACTGGAATTTAAAACTTAAAGATGAAAAACACCTGTCGTGCTGGAAGAGAACTGATCGTTTGTTTGTTTGTTTGTTTGTTTGTCATTCCTCTTGATTGACGTATTCCTGTGGCTCTAAATTTTAGTGACACTAGGATTTGGGGTGGGCTGTCATTTGATGTGGTACCTTTGTTCTTTGGGGAATGACTTCACACCAAATGAACCTTGGCAACTGTTCTGTTTTACAATTGCGTCTAGATTATGGTCCAGTAGCCTTCACGAGAGAGGAAAGGCCATCATTGGGGCTTTGGCGGGAATTCCACGATACTTGGGGAACAAATTTTAATGCCCTTTATTTTCCCATTCAAGTCTGAGGGTGACCAATCTCATCCTCTCAAAAGAGAAAGAAAGACAATATTTCTATGTATGCGCATGCACATGGCACAGCATGCACACATATGCACACGCATAGTCAGTCCCAGTCTGACACACACGTCACATGCACTGTTAGTCCTGGTCTAGCTATTGATTTTGAACAAAGTTTGAATTTATCTCATCTCCCGCCTCTTAGTTTCTCCACACAAACATCATTGTCTTACGTCCATACAGTAACTGTGTCTGTCACAGTTCTCTATTGAGCTTCTTCCTTTCTTTTTTTTTTTCTTGTTGCTTAAGCTGGAGCAATGACTGGCTGGGAGATACAGCTTTGGTTGCACCTACACTTCATGCACTTACAAACTTTTCTTTCATAGGACCTGACGGCATTAGCTAAAGAATTAAGAGAACTCCGGATTGAAGAAACAAACCGCCCACTGAAGAAGGTGACGGACTACTCCTCCTCCAGTGAAGAGTCAGAGAGCAGTGAGGAGGAGGAGGAAGATGGGGAGAGTGAGACACACGACGGGACAGTGGCTGTCAGTGACATCCCCAGACTAATGTAAGACATGATTGGTATTGTTGGTGTTGTTTTGAGATAGAGTCTGTAGGTTGTTCCCGTACTTTCCCTGAGTGTCTGTGCTTGAGCTATCCTTCTGTCTCAGCCTCAGGCATAGCTGGAACTACAGATACTTAGCACTATGCGTGGATCCAGACTGTTTCTCACATGAAGACCAGGAAGGGGCTGAGTCTCCAAACCAAAACATGAGAAATATTAGCTAAATACAAATCACACACAGGTCACTGACCAGTTGAGGTCTTCTCAGAGTGTAGTCTACAGCTGTCTCTCGGCCTAGCTTCTGTCACCTAGAGCATGAGGCACTGCTAGGCCTGTATATGCCCTGCCTGCCCATTTGCTATTGGATTCACTATCCTTTAGATGGCTCTTGCTTTTTGTTTTCATCTCAAAGACAAACAATATGGACAGCAAGGCCACTGGGACACATCTCTCCACCTGTAAATAAGAGAATAAGATCATGGGTAGTGATATTATAAACAGGAGACACATATTCCACCTACCACCATGGCCAACAATAAGCAAAAATGAATGCACATGGTGTCAGGTGTTAGCAACCCAATGAAATAATCAGGAGGCAAATAACCATTCAAGGACATAATGAGTATTACTATTTTTTAGCCCATGCTCTTCAGTGTCTCTTATTTGATCTCTTTTCTTTCTTTTTTGTATGTTTATTTATACATGTACATGTGTGCTGATGTTGACATGTATGCAGTGTGTATGCTAAACATATGTGCATGTCCATATGGATGCCGTGCTTCAGATGCTGTCCACCCCTTTTGAGATAGGTTCCCTCACTGACCTGGTGCTCACTGGCTCTCCTGCCTCCACCTCCTCAGTTCCAGAGGTACAAGTGTGCACCACTAGACCTGGCCTTCATGGTTGCATGGCAAGCGTTTCACTCACTGAGCCATCGCCTCAGACCTTGATTCTTTTTCCTGTCACCAGCACCTTCACGTACTCTTGTCAAATTATTTATGTTCCTATGTGTGTCTGCCTAGATTTCCCCAAATCATACTGGTTTTTACTTTTCTTTCTTCCCTCAGCATGAGTAGGTAGCTCAGTGGGTTTTGTTCATCAGAGTGGATTCTTGGGTTGGTTGTCCACATCCATTCTTTTTGCTTTTCTAACTCCTCCCAGAATACATATAAAGGGTCACTACCCTGGGTTGCCATAAGTTTGATGAAATGTCATGCTAACTTCCCCATCGTCACTCTCATTCCCCTCCATCTCTTCAGATTATCTCTCAGTATTGACCACCAGAACATGACGACTCTATTGAAAGATGTCGTAAGATCATAAGTATTGTCCTGCTTGATAGACTACAGAAGGACAGGGGTGGCCAGTCTTCAGAGGGTGCCACCCAAGCAGTTCTGAGAAGCAAATCCAATAACCATCATTGTAAATCCATGCTTGTGTTGGCTATTCAATTATTGACAACTATAAATACCCCAAGATATGATATTTTGAGACAAATTATGCTAAATTGTCTTATAATAGCAAATAAAATTGTTCTAGAGGCAGAACTACTAAGCCTGAGCATCTATACAAAACATGCTGATCATTGTTATTTTGTCTTGACTCAGCATTGTTCAGTTCTCCTAACCGATGCTTAAAGTTCTCTTAAACACTGGGCATACAATTGCTGGGATAATAATTGTGAAAATAAAAGAGTCCTACAATTCTCACTACAAGTTAAATCCTGTGCTGAGGAGCTTGCGGTATCTGGAGAGTGTGTACTTATAGTCTGCCTTCAAAGTTCTTCTTTACAGAGATAAATTATAAATGGAAAAATGCAAGGTAATCTAATCATTTGGGCCAACCACAAACAATTTGTGGAAAAGCATAAAAGAACTTTCTAAGCCCTTACCATATTTTTTAACTCCATGAATGCTATTTCCCATTCACCCTCTAAAGGAGAATTAGAACTTATTCTTCAGGAAAAAACATCTATTTTCTAAAATTTCCAAAATAGACTGCATTGTGCTTCTCTCTGCCATCTGCTCATCTGTCTATTTGGAAATCACCTACCCACAGCCTAGCCTGCTATGAAGAACCATCCATTTCTGTCCCTTCATCCCCCTTTTCCATTGCCACTATTTCCCCAGTAGTACTAAGTTTGAATGTCATAACTTGAGTCAGGATTGTTGGCATGTTTTTCTCCCTGTTGAGCTGAGAAAGTTCCTGAGGATGGGATAGTGGCTTGTTCATCTCTCTACTCTAAAGACTATGTTGTGTCTGGAATTGAGCATCTTTCCAATAATTCTCCAAATTAACCATGATTTAATCACACTGAGTCAAAATGGCAAGACCAGACCTATGGCCTGATCCAAAGGAAAGGCATGGATGTTAGTAACCTGAATAATAGTCAGAAAGACAGGTAAGTACACAGAATAGGACCAGAAAATCCAGGCAGAGGAGGACTTGAAAAAAAAACACACACACACAAGACTGCAAATGGTGCAAACATGCAGTTGTCACAGTAGAGGAGAATGTCTGGGTCAGAAACACCAGAGCAATAGTGTACACGTTAGCATGCATCCGTTGGAAACTGTTTGTATCTTGAGCCAGAGTATTACATGATCAGTGCTATGTTTGAGGGAGGGCATTTCAGTGGGACAATTTGGACACTGGTAAAGCCATTCACAGGATCTGTTACTATAACTCTGCTTACGAATGATATGCTAAGGCTACAGTGGAATGCTTACAGTGGAGACAAGACCTGATGTAGCTCTTAAAGACCTGGAAATTTTAGATAGATTGAAATGATTGTCTGTTGAAAACTATACACATACAGAAAAGGGAGACAAAGAGAGGTGTGTGTGTGTGTGTGTGTGTGTGTGTGTGTGTGTGTGTGTTGTATATTCCAGTTTGGTATGAATTATAGGTGTTCTTTCATGAGGATTAAGAACAGATACAGTCTGTTCTCCAACACGCCTTAGAAATTTCATACTATTAAAACTCCATTATAAACAGCTACTTCTATACACATTAAATGCTTTGGGGTGACAGTCTCTTTGTACATATTCTTACCGCCTTCATATTCTTTTGTTAAGATGGACTTTCAAGTTTTATGTTGTATATTTTTAGAGAAAATAGAAATACATTGTAACACAAGTCATTCCTGGGAAGTGCACACAGAATGAGCTTCTCAGAAATGGAGGTCCAGGCTTTCACACAAGCAGCCCTGGCTCCAGTGTTCAGATAAGAAATCATCCTAGTACGGTTTCATACTGTTGCGTGCCATGTAATCTGTAAGTTTGAGCTCCCCAACTAGTTGGTTGCATTTTGGAACACCTCCTGGTGGGATGGGGGGCACTAGGGAGTGGGAAAAAATAGCCCCAGAGCATACGTGATTACAACTGATGTAAGAGTTGTAAAGAACTTTTAATATATGTATATCACTAAAGTATATGATAGACATGGGTTATTATAGCCAGGAAAAGAAAAAGGTTTCTATGATAGCAAGAACAAGGTCAGTTTGCATCATGTGGAGCAAGCTAAAGAGGTACCCTTTGTGTCAGTGTGCTCCCTGCAATCCCAATCCAGGCTTCAGACTGTAAGGCGCTGGCTATGGGTTGACCAGATGGCTCAGTGATTAAGAAGCTTCATTGCTCTTCTAGAGGATGGAGTATAGGCCTGAGGCTTGCACCCAGTGACATACTATAGCCTGTAACTCCAGCTCCGGGAACCAACACCCTTTCCTACCCTCCCAGGCACCCACACACATGTGCCATACACTCACAAATACACGTAAATGAAAATATTTTTTAATAAAAAAGTAAGTCCAGATGGTGACCATGTAGTCCTAACACTATTCATTTTACCAGTCCCATGACGTCATCTAGATGACGAAAGCCACATAGCTTCCTTTTCCCTCCTTCCACTCTCCCTAAAGCACCATGGTTCCAGCCCGTCACCGGCCTCCTCAGCTATGCAGTGCCTCCTTTGAAGGCCTTTGCCCTCCCGTGCTTTTTCATGCTCTGGGGTGACTGGCCACACTTTACCCCTCATTCCTGCATTTACCCTTGTATTCCTGCAACCAATGATTGCCCTGGCACATTCCAGCCAATGGAAGCCTCCAGCGTCCCGACAGTCGCTGAGCCCTTTCCCAAAGCACTCCTTTCCTCAGAGCCACAGTCCCTACCCTCATCCCTGTCCCTTCGTCCAGCAGTCCTGCCTTGGGTCCCTACCCTCGTCCCTTCGTCCAGCAGTACTGCCTCGGGTCTCTACCCTCGTCCAGCAGTCCTGCCTTGGGTCCCTACCCTCGTCCCTTCATCCAGCAGTACTGCCTCGGGTCCCTACCCTCGTCCCTGTCCCTTCGTCCAGCAGTCCTGCCTTGGGTCCCTACCCTCGTCCGGCAGTCCTGCCTTGGGTAGGAGTGATCCGCAGCATCCCTCTGCTCTGTGGAGAGTAAGTGCTTCAGCCGAGCAATCGCACTGTGCCAGGATTTTCTATCCACTCCCCTCTGCCAAACCAAGGACCTTTCAGAAAGCAGGTGCCCAAAAGCATGTATTGAATTGAATTGAATTGAATCAGTCCCTCCAGGAGCACTTTGACAAATCCAATTAGAGGGAATTATTGTTCCAAACCAGTACTCTAATTACAGGAAATTTCCTGTATTTTTTTTTCATCTGAATCAGTGGTAGGATTTTATTGCTTGTTTTGACTTAATTTGTCTTTTACAAACTCCACAGGATTATGGATAGCTAATTTTTCCCACCCAATCTCTATACTAAGAAAAATTATTTCTCGAATAATAAATAGTTAACACAAGAAGAGGCGATATTTGTTGTTTTAGCCATAGTCATTTTTGGGTTTGGTTTTATTTTTTTTTTTCTCCCCATTCCTTTATGGTTTCTAAGCATTACTCTTTTTTAGTGTAGTTGCGGTTTGATAGGAAAATCAAGGTGACAACAGAATCCGGTGTTGGTGCCCCATCACGTTGTCTACACAGTCCTAAGGAGGATGTCTTGTATCCG